TTGCAACTATTCAGGTTGGATTAGAGAGACAGGAGACAGTAATGGAGGGGGGTGACCAGGAAGGCAAGGGAAAGAAGTCAGGCTGAACTTTAGCCCTGGTGGTCTGTGTTTACCAACCCTATAGGAGGTAGAAGAAGATGATCCAGTGCCTGAGATCCGCCGAGATCACTTTGAGGAAGCCATGCGCTTTGCCCGCCGTTCTGTCAGTGACAATGACATCCGGAAGTATGAGATGTTTGCTCAGACCCTTCAGCAGAGTCGGGGCTTTGGCAGCTTCAGGTAATTGCGTTACAGTGGGCAGTACTTAAGTGGTTTTGGGTGACTGTACAACCACAATTGTGGGAGTCCTAAGGAGGCTGGCGGGTTAGTTGTGAAAATCCTACACAGGCCCTATCCTAACTCCCTTTTTTGGCTCTTTTTGTGCATACAGATTCCCTTCAGGAAACCAAGGTGGAGCTGGCCCCAGTCAGGGCAGTGGAGGCGGCACAGGTGGCAGTGTGTACACGGAAGACAATGATGATGACCTGTATGGCTAAGTGGTGGTGGCCAGCATGCAGCGAGCTGGCCTGGCTGGACCTTGTTCCCTGAGGGTGGGGGCGCTTACCCAGGAGGGACCAGGGGTGTGCCCATGGCCTGCTCCATTCCTCAGTCTGAACAGTTCAGCTACAGTCAGACTCTGGACAGGGGGTTTCTGTTGCAAAAAAATACAAAACAAAAGAGATAAAATAAAAGCGATTTTCATTTGGGAGGCGGAGAGTGAATTACCAACAGGGAATTGGGCCTTGGGCCTACGCCATTTCTGTTGTAGTTTGGGGCAGTGCAGGAGACCTGTGTGGTTGTGAACCAAGGCACCACCGCCACTCCCCACAGTAAAGCATCTGCACTTCACTCAGTGCTACCCAAGCCTTCCCTTCTTCCCTCTACCCAACCTGGGCAGGAGGATGAAGGGCCACAGTTGCTGGGTGTTTATATAGAGAGTAGGTTGATTTTATTTTACATGCTTTTGAGTTAATGTTGGAAAACTAATCACAAGCAGTTTCTAAACCAAAAATGACATGTTGTAAAAGGACAATAAACGTTGGGTCAAAATGGAGCGTGAGTCCTGGCCCCTTTGCCTGCTTCTTTTCCTGGGAAGGGCCTTGCGCTACCCCTTAACTGTCAAGGCACTCTTCAAATGTGAAAAATTAAAATAAGATTGCACCCTCTTCCCCTTCTGATTAACAGCGGTATGAACTGCCACCTTGCCCCATGTCTGTATTATCACTGAATAGGACTGCAGGGGAGGGGGTACAGCCTGCCTGATGGAACTCTAGTTGTGTTTGATGTGGTTGGTAAGGTTAGGCTGCAGAGCTCTCTTTTCCTGACCAAGGACTGAATTGGGGTGCCTTCCAAAAATCTTAAAGGTTGCAGAAAGAGAATCTCTGTCTGAGGTGGATGTTCTTTGTAGGTATCTAAAAAGTCCTGAACATTTCATGCTCTGGTTGAGGATCATTTACAGTTATGTCCACCTTTATATAATTTGTATTATAAAAAAATAGTTTTTTTCTAATATAAAATTCTAGTATTGGATGTTTTTTTCTAAACATCCTCCCCTGCTCACCTTTTTTCAGATGATTGCTTGCATAGTTTTGTCCATGTCCAGGTATAGAATATCCTTTTTGTTCAACAGGTACCAACATAATCACTTAGTGCTTTTTGGGATCAGTACTGTGATGCCTTATCCAGAGAGGAATATGGTTCAGAGAAAATAATCCCCCAAATTTTTATTGGTCTTCCTAGTACTAACACCAGTCGCTGGTACGGATTACAAAGATAGATAATCTACAAGGACACAAGATAATTATACTGGCTGATGAAACTGGGGCATTTTAAATTAATGTGCTATGAAATAGAGATTTTTGCACGTTGGAGATTTGAGTTGATTCCCTCATTTTCCATGATACTTTCTCTACCACATTCTGTCTTTCATCGTCTTCTGGTTTTCCCACCATTTAGGTGTCCTGATGGCTAGCCTTCAGTCTTGTTTCCACTTTGAACATTGTCATTCTGTCATCCATGTGGCTCATCCCTGTGGGTTGGCAGCCTAACTTCACTGTGGGCCAAAGACAAGATCTTTCGGGGGAAAGAAATTTGGTTGGTGCCTCTGCATCAAGCTATAGGAACAGATTAGAAGACAAGTGGTGTTGGTATTTTCCTAAAAAATATGTAGAGATGCTGGTTGATAACGTGAGAAATTTGTGTTTGAATGATTGTTTCGCTTTTACGTGTCACACCAAGTGTGTGACAGTTGGAGCTCTGTAGATCCTTTGGAAAAAACCAAGGAATAGTTTGGAGCTCTGTAGATCCTTTAGGAAAAACCAAGGAACAGACTTATAAGTGAGAGGCGCGGTTCTAGTTCTGGCACGCGAGCTTATAGCAGTGTAGCTTTAACAAGGCACTTAGTTCTTTGGGGCCTCTGATAGATGAAGAGGTTGACAGTGTTTTGTAAACTGTAGAAGGGAGTGTGAGGAACTGTCAACACTTGCAGACACCTGCATACCTAAACCAAGAGGCAAGTCATAAAGGCAGTCCCATTTTTTCCCTTCCAGTGTTCCCAGAGATTGGACTTTATTTTTATTTATTTATTTATTTATTTATTAAAGATTTTATTTATTTGACACACAGAGAGCAAGAGAGAGAGAGAGAGGGAGAGGGCACAAGCAGGGGGAGCGGCAGGCAAAGGGAGAAGCAGGCTTCCTGCATGAGCAGGGAGCCCGATGTGGGGCTCGATCCCAGGACCCTGGGATCATGACCTGAGCTGAAGGCAGCGGTTTAACCAACTGAGCCACCCAGGCGCCCCGAGATTGGATTTTATAATTTTACTGTAGCTAATCACTTCTTCCATAGGATGGGTGCTACAGTTTGGAGATGGATTTCTAACCAAGAATATGGCATGAAACAGGTTATAGGGGATCAACAATATACTGCAGATGCAAAAGCAAAGATAGAACTATAAACCTAACATCTTAAGATATATTTGGGTTTTGTTTTTGTTTTTAAGTAGGCTCCACACCCAGCATGGAGCCTAACCTAGGGCTTGAACTCATGACCCTGAGATAAGAGTCAGACACTTAACTGACTGAACTACCTGGCACCCCAAGATATATTTGGATCCAAGATACTGATCCTACGAGTTGCCCTGAGAGTCTAGTCACAATGCCCGTGAGAACACAGGTCTGCCAATCATTAATTCAACTGAACTGAGGCAAATGTTAAATGGTTTGTTATTCTTTTCCACTGAGGCCTTAAAAAGACATGCATAGACTCATGAAATGTCCTCGTATCAAGTAGAAATTTAGAATTGAATTGTGTTTGGGGCGCCTGACTGGCTCAGTTGGTGGAGCATGCAACTCTTGGTCTTAGGATTGTGAGTTCAAGTCCCACCGTCAGCATGGAACCTACCTAAAATTAACCAAAAAAATGAAAAGAATTGCACTGAGATGATTTGGGGGTAGGGTAGGTAGGAAGAGGGAAAATAACTTTAGTTCCACTCCTGGCCAGCAGGTGGTGAGTTTTGGAGTAAGACCCTCTAGACAGGTTTGGGCTAATAAATAAAGCTTTGGGACAGATAAGTGACAGAGGAGATAGAGGGACAGCATATATCTTCGGCTTTTCTCAACTAATATATATGGAGTAGAGGGAATATTGTAGAATGAAAAGAGCACTGGATTGGGAATGTGGATTTGACCTCAGAACCTCAACTTCTTTTTTAGGGACTTGATAGCCATACTATCAGGAAACTGGTGCTGTCAACAAGGTACAAATTAGGGGCTGCAAGGAAGGGGAAACCATACCAAGACAGGAGAATCAGAAGGCTCCGGAGGTAGTCTGAGCTGGGCATTAAAGGAAGGTGGGAGACTTGACATGGAGAAGTAGGGGAGAGCAGTTTGTGCAAAAGGCACAGAAGTCAAAAAATACAGAGCATGCTTAAGAAGCATCAGGTTGAGGGCGCCTGGGTGGCTCAGTTGTTAAGCGTCTGCCTTCGGCTTGGGTCATGATCCTGGAGTCCTGGGATCGAGTCCCGCGTTGGGCTCCCTGCTCAGCGGGAAGCCTGCTTCTCCCTCTCCCACTCCCCCTACTTGTGTTCCTGCTCTCGCTGTCTCTCTCTCTCTGTCAAATAATAAAATCTTTAAAAAAAAAGCTTAGAAACTATTGATATACTTAATCCTATGGAGTAATCTCTTAAGTCACAGTAATCAGAGTGGCTTATTAGTGGAAGAGAGAGAGTTTGAGCTGGGATATGAAGGGACACTATAAAGGCTAAGGAAATAAGCAGCCTAAATAACTGGCTTAAGAAATAGGATTGCAGGAATTGGGGAAAACCTGGGTAGATTTAAGAGGGCATATGTTATTGGAAGTGAGGCCACCAGGTAAGGTGTAATCCAGATGTGGTAAGCGCTGAAAGTCATGTATCTTATCTTTAAAATTTAGGTGGTTTTGTTTTTATTTTTTGTTTTTTTAAAGAAACTTTATTTTTAAAATTTAGCTTTATTGAGATATAATTCACATATAGGTAAATTCACCCTTTTAATGTATACTGTCTCCATGCATCTTGACAAATGTATTTAAGTTCTATAACTATTATCACAGTTTAGATAAATTGCTGTCGTCCTAGAAAGTTCCCTCATGCCACTTTAGTCAGCTGCTTCTTTCCACCCTAAGCCCTTGGCAACCACTAATGTGATTTTGTCCGTACTGTTTGGCTTTTTCCAGAATGCATTAACAGTTTTTAAATAGGGCACTGACTCAGTTTTAGGAAGATTGGCCTTGCAACTATTCAGGTTGGATTAGAGAGACAGGAGACAGTAATGGAGGGGGGTGACCAGGAAGGCAAGGGAAAGAAGTCAGGCTGAACTTTAGCCCTGGTGGTCTGTGTTTACCAACCCTATAGGAGGTAGAAGAAGATGATCCAGTGCCTGAGATCCGCCGAGATCACTTTGAGGAAGCCATGCGCTTTGCCCGCCGTTCTGTCAGTGACAATGACATCCGGAAGTATGAGATGTTTGCTCAGACCCTTCAGCAGAGTCGGGGCTTTGGCAGCTTCAGGTAATTGCGTTACAGTGGGCAGTACTTAAGTGGTTTTGGGTGACTGTACAACCACAATTGTGGGAGTCCTAAGGAGGCTGGCGGGTTAGTTGTGAAAATCCTACACAGGCCCTATCCTAACTCCCTTTTTTGGCTCTTTTTGTGCATACAGATTCCCTTCAGGAAACCAAGGTGGAGCTGGCCCCAGTCAGGGCAGTGGAGGCGGCACAGGTGGCAGTGTGTACACGGAAGACAATGATGATGACCTGTATGGCTAAGTGGTGGTGGCCAGCATGCAGCGAGCTGGCCTGGCTGGACCTTGTTCCCTGAGGGTGGGGGCGCTTACCCAGGAGGGACCAGGGGTGTGCCCATGGCCTGCTCCATTCCTCAGTCTGAACAGTTCAGCTACAGTCAGACTCTGGACAGGGGGTTTCTGTTGCAAAAAAATACAAAACAAAAGAGATAAAATAAAAGCGATTTTCATTTGGGAGGCGGAGAGTGAATTACCAACAGGGAATTGGGCCTTGGGCCTACGCCATTTCTGTTGTAGTTTGGGGCAGTGCAGGAGACCTGTGTGGTTGTGAACCAAGGCACCACCGCCACTCCCCACAGTAAAGCATCTGCACTTCACTCAGTGCTACCCAAGCCTTCCCTTCTTCCCTCTACCCAACCTGGGCAGGAGGATGAAGGGCCACAGTTGCTGGGTGTTTATATAGAGAGTAGGTTGATTTTATTTTACATGCTTTTGAGTTAATGTTGGAAAACTAATCACAAGCAGTTTCTAAACCAAAAATGACATGTTGTAAAAGGACAATAAACGTTGGGTCAAAATGGAGCGTGAGTCCTGGCCCCTTTGCCTGCTTCTTTTCCTGGGAAGGGCCTTGCGCTACCCCTTAACTGTCAAGGCACTCTTCAAATGTGAAAAATTAAAATAAGATTGCACCCTCTTCCCCTTCTGATTAACAGCGGTATGAACTGCCACCTTGCCCCATGTCTGTATTATCACTGAATAGGACTGCAGGGGAGGGGGTACAGCCTGCCTGATGGAACTCTAGTTGTGTTTGATGTGGTTGGTAAGGTTAGGCTGCAGAGCTCTCTTTTCCTGACCAAGGACTGAATTGGGGTGCCTTCCAAAAATCTTAAAGGTTGCAGAAAGAGAATCTCTGTCTGAGGTGGATGTTCTTTGTAGGTATCTAAAAAGTCCTGAACATTTCATGCTCTGGTTGAGGATCATTTACAGTTATGTCCACCTTTATATAATTTGTATTATAAAAAAATAGTTTTTTTCTAATATAAAATTCTAGTATTGGATGTTTTTTTCTAAACATCCTCCCCTGCTCACCTTTTTTCAGATGATTGCTTGCATAGTTTTGTCCATGTCCAGGTATAGAATATCCTTTTTGTTCAACAGGTACCAACATAATCACTTAGTGCTTTTTGGGATCAGTACTGTGATGCCTTATCCAGAGAGGAATATGGTTCAGAGAAAATAATCCCCCAAATTTTTATTGGTCTTCCTAGTACTAACACCAGTCGCTGGTACGGATTACAAAGATAGATAATCTACAAGGACACAAGATAATTATACTGGCTGATGAAACTGGGGCATTTTAAATTAATGTGCTATGAAATAGAGATTTTTGCACGTTGGAGATTTGAGTTGATTCCCTCATTTTCCATGATACTTTCTCTACCACATTCTGTCTTTCATCGTCTTCTGGTTTTCCCACCATTTAGGTGTCCTGATGGCTAGCCTTCAGTCTTGTTTCCACTTTGAACATTGTCATTCTGTCATCCATGTGGCTCATCCCTGTGGGTTGGCAGCCTAACTTCACTGTGGGCCAAAGACAAGATCTTTCGGGGGAAAGAAATTTGGTTGGTGCCTCTGCATCAAGCTATAGGAACAGATTAGAAGACAAGTGGTGTTGGTATTTTCCTAAAAAATATGTAGAGATGCTGGTTGATAACGTGAGAAATTTGTGTTTGAATGATTGTTTCGCTTTTACGTGTCACACCAAGTGTGTGACAGTTGGAGCTCTGTAGATCCTTTGGAAAAAACCAAGGAATAGTTTGGAGCTCTGTAGATCCTTTAGGAAAAACCAAGGAACAGACTTATAAGTGAGAGGCGCGGTTCTAGTTCTGGCACGCGAGCTTATAGCAGTGTAGCTTTAACAAGGCACTTAGTTCTTTGGGGCCTCTGATAGATGAAGAGGTTGACAGTGTTTTGTAAACTGTAGAAGGGAGTGTGAGGAACTGTCAACACTTGCAGACACCTGCATACCTAAACCAAGAGGCAAGTCATAAAGGCAGTCCCATTTTTTCCCTTCCAGTGTTCCCAGAGATTGGACTTTATTTTTATTTATTTATTTATTTATT